CCATAGTAAAGTTACATTGCCAGCTATAAAGCAACTGTTGCATCAGACCACAGTAGGTTGTCTTTTTCTCTGGGTTCTAAAATAAAATGCCAATATACATGGCACTTTCATAAGCATCCTCCTCTGTTTATCTCTCAACAAATGTCAGAAAGGACCATGATTATGTTCCGAGGTTCTGATACGTAATTTGTGTTGACATTAACTGGGCAGGGCATTTTTAATTCCCAGCATGTTTTGCATGTGACTGGGTGGGAAAAGTACATGTTGAAATTAGTCATTATTGTGTGTGTTTTTGAGCAAGACAGAGGAAGAGAAAGAGGAGGGTGTTTAGGTTCTGTTATTCAACCCTCTACATTGCGAGTAAATCAGTCGCATATGCGACTAAATCTTCACTCTGGGCGACTAAATTATGTCTAATATTGGCCAATTGCTAATAAATTCTGAGATTTTACTCTCCAGTGTGAGCTGGAGGCTAAGTACAGGTGCATCTCAATAAATTAGAATGTCATGGAAAATTTCATTTATTTCAGTAATTCAACTCAAATTGGAAACTGATCGTGCTCCCTTTCTATATAGTCCATCACCTTAGCTGAGAGGTGAAAAATATCTCTAGTGCTGCTCACACGCCTCGGAGACGATGGCTCAGTCAGCTTCACTAAGATCTTTTGGACTGGAATGAAGCACACATCCTTTGCTCCTCGTTTTGGATGAAACTGAGTGCTTGGCCCATTAGGATGGAAGAATTCCACCTCAACATCTTGGTGATGTGTATCCATAGTGATGACTTTTGTCAGCCACCAGTTCTTGTCATATATCACAGCAAGCCAGTCTCCACTGTTAATGTGATCTGCCACTAACATTGTGTGAGCTCCCTCGGGAACTCCCTCATGGCTGTCCCGCTCCATTTCCTCAATTAGCATGGCAACGGGTCCTTTTTCCTTCTGTTGAGCAGAAGCATTGCTACCACCAGCATGCCTTTTCGAACTCATCACCTTTACACGCTCATTGAGATCAAACATGGCTGGAGAAAAACACTGACAAATTTTCGGTTCACAGCAAAAACAGGACAATGATCTGCAAAAGATCTTCTTCCCCTCAGGAATAACCTGATGAACTTTTCGTGTTCCGGGCACAGGTTTCATGAGTTGAATGAGTTCATCATAGTTCATCATTTCTTCATCTTTGACATAGAAGAGTTGAATGTTGGTAAGACTTTTCCCCACCATGTCATAGAATATTTTCCCACTTTCAATATCATTCCCTTGCAGAAGGAGACTATCTGCAGTTCTTTTGACCGTCCCTCCGATGCCGTCTGGTGCTCCCTTGCCATGTGAAGTGGGAAAGAAGTTCCAAGTCGCTCTTTGGAAACCAAATATTGAAGAGACATCGCATAAAAGAGAGAAATTAATCTTGTTTTTATATTGTTTGCTAGGGCCATCAGACCAAAATTGGATGGTGTGAGCACCAGGAAACTTATCTCTTACTGTTTTGAGGACAGGATCCATGTATGCCCAAATGGAGGCAGCATCCTGACGCTTGGATTCAGACACAGTGCAAAAGCCAGTCTATTCATCTTTTGTGTAGTACATGCCAGTATGCAGATTGAGTTGGGGAAGGTTCTGACCAAAATGGCATGACTGTACCTCAGAGCTATATTTGCATTTCCATGCTTCTGCGAAGTCAACATGCACAATAACACTGTTTTCATCACAGTTGTCTATCATCTTCCTGTACTGTCTGGACTGATTTTTGATTTGTTGTTGTCTCATTGCGCAACAGGTGTTCATATGGCTGTATGAGTTCTGCTATGGTGCCAGTATGCTTCACAAGTTTAGTGTTGTGGTGAGGTTCGCCTGCCTCTTGGTCCTTTACCCGTTCCCACTGCTGCCACTCAACATTGATCAGCTCTTGCTGTGCTGCAACCGGTGTGCTTTTGTGAAGACAGCGAGGACAAACGTGCAGGAGGCATGCTTCACTTGGAGGAGAGCAACAAACAAGCTCAAAACTATCATCAAGCTTGCTACTCTGAATAACCCCATGTTCTCTCAAGACCTCAAGCATCATCTTTGCATTTTCATGGTATTGGCACTGACAGGTCTTTCGATCAGATGGCTTGGGGGCTGTGACATAGGAAGGGCGAAGAGTGCAGAAAGATGAATAACTTGGACTAATGTCTGGGTGTTGCTTGATGAGCTCTTTGTGGAGGAAAATCATTGTGTCTGAGAGGACCATTCTCTGATGCTTTTTCTTATTTCGTGTAATTGTGTCTTTTTTGTCTGTGGTCATACATGCAGAATTACAAAATAAGTTTTGGACTGTTTGTGTCATTGTTTTAAGGTAAGTGGGCCTTCTGACTTTGGATTCCTTTTGCCTTAGCATTTTGTATGTCAGACCAAATTGCCTAATTTTGTATAGCAGCCGATGTTTTTTAAGAATCGTCCCTGACAAGAGAAGGTTCTTAGATTTTACAAGAGATTTCTGAAGTGTCTCTGCACTCTGTTTTCCTGTGTTGAATTCTTTAATTAGGACATTGTGGAACAGGAGAGTCTTCTTTACTGAAGGGGAGCTGGTATTTCTACCGCACATCATTCCCTCTGTGGTGGTTTTCGGTGATTCACATAGTGTGCTTTCATGTGTTGTTTTCTGTTTTATGCGCCATATTTTTTTTCTCAAGTCACTGTTCTCTTTTTGGACCTTGCTGGGTCTTTAGTGTTTTCAATTTTCTAGAATGTCTCTGCCTTGTTTTGACCCTCTCTCTTTTACCTGCAGCAGCCTGCCTGGTCGTCTGTGGTGTCTCATTGAAGTCAATTGATGGACTATCTGGAGGTGTTTCCAATGGTTGAGTGTCTTTCTTTCTTTGCTTTCTTGATTCTCTCTGGCTATGCTTCCATTTCTTTCTCATTTTCCTCTGTTCTCTTTTACTCAAATCCTTGATTTGGCTTATTTTTCCTCCCTCAACTCTCTGTTTCCACCTTTGTCTCTCCTGTCTTAGAAATTCCTCTTTTAATTCTGGTTGTGTACTGATTTTCTCTCTTCGCTTTTTCTGACACTCTCTGTTCCTTCTTCTACGCTCCTCCAATGAGAGATTTTGTCTAGCCATGCTGGACTAAAACACAAAAAGAGCACGAGACAATCTTTACCATATTTGCCTATACCATGCAATGTTCCTTAATATGTTCCTTAAGCCCTGTTTTCCCTGAATCTTCCTTCCTCAACGCTAATTCTGCTAGAAGTGATGACTATCAATCCACAAAAGCAATATGCTGTCAGGTCACATATAGTGGTAACACTTTACAATATTGTTAATTGGTTAACATTAGTTAACGTATTAAATAACATTAACTAGCAATATAAATACATTTGTTACAATATTTACAAATCTTTGTTAACATTAGTTAAAATAAAAATATAACTGTTCATTGTTAGTTCATGTTAGCTCTGCTTATTTAAATAATATTTACTAATACATTATTAAAATACTTTGTTAATTAATGTAGTTAACTAATGTGAACAAATGAAATGTTATTGTAAAGTGTTACCCATATGGTTTTTATACATTATTAGAAAAATGTAATGCTATTTTATATTTAATATAATGAAAAATGATCTGAAAACCTAAAAAATATGATGACTTCACGTTGAATGTCAACTCCATCACTGGCCCGTCACCACCGTCAGACAGAAAATCTGACGGTGGTGACATCTGACGGTGTTGACACATTAGGCATTTCTTTCACAAAACAAATGGAGTTCATGAAGTAGCCATTTAGTTTTCTCTGCTAATGTTAGATGCTAATAGAACCTGCTTCAGGAGAATAAAATGATCTAAAAATTTCAAATAATTTCCTCAGAAATTGGAAGATGGTGTTGACATATCATGGCTGTGACAAAGGAAATATTAACATCAGGATTTTAAATATTCTAAAACTATAAAACTTACCAGAGCCTGTCTGACATGCATGAACTCTGCAGAGGTGGAATGTGGCAAAGGGGTCCTTTAGAGTGACAGCTGCCCCTGATATTCCCTGATTTTATTACATTTTAATGAATGTCTGACGGTGTTGACACAAAGTGGGGACGCAACTTTAAAATCTTATGAAACACACATGTGTCATTAAAAAACAACCTTGCTTTGATAGGAGATATTATTAAGTATTGCTTTTGATAAAACAAGCTCTTTTTCATCATAACATTTTTTTTAATCCATTTTATTGCATATGAATGGTTGAACCCTTCTCTGTGGACACACTGTTTTAGACGTAGTGAGAGGACAATAACTGTGCGTTCACACCGCCGGCGGCGAGAGCGTCAAAGTGACCGGAAGACATTATGTTAGAATTCAGAAGGATTCATGTTGCAGTGAAGTTTTGGGAGTTACTATTAGGGAGAAGAATGGACCCATTTTATTGGACAAATTATTGTGCTGCTGTTATAGTTGGTTGTATTTTTTTAATGCTAGTTCATGTTTTCACATTGGACTAAAACTTACTGACTTTGCTCATGCAGGGTATAAAAAAATTATAATTTCCCCAAAAAGTGATCATTTTTGTGGTCTGTCAATCTGTGGTGTTTTCGGTCAAAAATGACTAGCCTACAAAAAATTGCTTATAAATTTCTTCTGATGCTATATTATTACCAAATATTGGATTCAGTCAAGATTATAAAAAGATTGAATCCAATATATGGTAAAAAAAATATATAGCATAAGACATAAGAAAATTTAAAAAGGCTGTTTTTTGACTGTGAACACCAAATTAGGTAAAGGATTTTCTGCATAGCATAAGGGCTAAAGATATGTACTCAACTTGGCTGCTGTTCAAGGAAAAAATGTAGATTGAAGAGGTTTACTATTTGTTATTGCCCAGAGAATCAGCCAGAAAAAGATAACACGTTTAAAGTTTAAATTCCATTTTCATATAGTTGTGACAACAGTGTTGTTTTTGAAAAGTATTTAATATGGTCAAATGCAGAAAGTAAATAAATCATTAGTAGCCTGGGAAATGAGCCTTGGTAAGTTATGCTACAGTACATGAACTAAATAACCCAGAGTACTGAATTTGAAGTCATCAGGTTTGATGATAAAGATGCACTTGTTAAATAGCCCTTTTCAAAATCAAGCAGAAACTCTTTACAACTCAATTGGGATTTTCTAATTATCTCAATATTTGTGGAAACTGGACTTGCAGAGGATACAAAAACAAGACTTGTAATATTTTAAATCTGAAATTATACGTTTGTATTGAAGTCGGGCTTAATACACAAGCTGAAGTGAGAGAGGTGGTTAGTTGGCGTATACCTCTCTGGATAAATGTCCTCTAAACTGACTATGTGTTTTGGCTTTGAATATGAACTGACTTGATGCGTTTTGGCTTGGTCATATGAATGAAATAGGGTGGGTGGTCACTGGGTGAGATGTAGCCAGGGCCTTTAAACATCTGGATGGCTGTTGTTTTCTTTCTCTCTTTGATCTCTCTCTCATTCCTGCAGATGAAAACATCATCCTTCTTTACCCAAAGAAGAAGGTCAGAATTGGAACCTGCTTGGTCAATCATTTAAGATGTTACTATAGGAAAGACTGTGGCAGGGAGTACATGTTGATGAAACTCATTTGTTCAGGTAAGCCAAATGTCCAATTTCCTGTATTCTCTAAATGTACAATGTATTCAAAGAGTGGAGATGTTTTCTGTCATCCTTTACTGTCTCTTCCAGTCCATGATTTGTATCTCACCCATTGCTGGTGGGTTGTGCATTTCAAGCACACCTTGGAGTTATAGAGAACAATTTTACACAAATTTGTAGAACAGAGGTTTCACACTCTTGTAATGTTGATACCAGTTTTATCCTGAGGAATAAACAAACAAACCAAACTGTAGGCAGCTAGTTGGGGGTCGAGATAGAAACCATGGCAACATGACTCCAAGTTGTGATTTAACTAGGCTATCTTGACACTGAGTTGATTTAGCAGTGTTGTTTTAAAGGGATCCCTTTTTCTTCTTACTTTGCCTGGCAGTTTAAATGAGCTCAGAGTTACAGCACAACAAACTATAAAACATGTAAACTACCACTCAGAAATGTCATCTAAGGATGAGAATTTAAATGTTTTCATACTTATATTTGACTGAGAGTGATGCATCTCCTCGCTGAATCACTGTACACGAGCACAGGTTGTCAGCCATCAGGGCTCATTCTCTACCCTGTGCAAACAAATCCAATAAGAAATTAGTTTTGCTAGTCCATTCAGTATGAGAAAAATGGTTTCTGAATGTTAATACATGCCCAAGGGACTGCAGTTACTTCTTTTCCTAGCAAATTTTTAATCAGAATCTCATCTTTTGTTATTGCTGTAATTATTATACGAGACCAGTATTGTGAAACCTGAGGCAATGCTTGTGATTATGTTACTGTTCTTTCGCTGACATATAATCGTGTTCGCTAAATGGCCACCATCCTCTTTTAAACACCTTTGTAAGGGACAGGCAGCCCCCTCAGCCATAGCGCATTTAGGACTGACCTTTGGCTATAGTAACTTGAGCGCGAAACTCCGTGTATGCTTGCCTTGAAGAGAGTGAAATGTCTACTTTCAAATGAACCAAATCAAATGGGAAAACAAATATTCTTAGATTATGTAATCCGTATGAAACATGCATACAGGCGCATCACTACTTTGGAGATGACGAGTTACGTCGACTTCATCTCTTAAACCAAAAACAAAAAAAAGCAGTAGTTTATTTTAGACTAGATAAATTATTAGACTAGAACCACGTTATATATTTTGCTGACTTGTGTACTTACACTATCCCAAATGTTTCGAAGAATGTTTAAATCCAGATAAATAAGCAATTTTAACTAGTGACACGGAGCGTGTCTATAGTGACGTGACGTGTGACGTGACGTGTGGCCAAGTGAATTAGTGCTCTGCATTTAACCCATCCAAAGTGCACACACACCGTGAACACACACCCGGAACAGTGGGCAGCCGGGGAGCAGTTGGGGGTTCGGTGCCTTGCTCAAGGGCACCTCAGTCATGGTATTGAAGGTGGAGAGAGCCCCGTTGGATTGCTTCGGCTGTGGGGATGAAGATGACAACTCCCATGATTCCACACTCAGTCACGGCGTCATCAAACTACGCCTGTGTCTATTTGTTTATTTTGAATGCGCGCCCTCTAGCAGCGAAAATTACATATTGTGTGTATATATTGTTTCTATAGATATAATCAACACATTTAAATTAATAAGATTAATTTAAATGAATATTATTTATCCATCATTTTTAATTTGATTATCATTCACATTGATTGGGATGCTAGTTTTCCCTGACTAAAGCCATTAAATACATAGTCTTGTACCTTTGTCATTTTGTTCGATTTTCTGATACATTTTTGCATCAAATAAGAGTTTGTAATGTGATTCATCTCATAGCTGGTTGGCTAGGTGCATGGCTTAACGCTTTAACAAAGATTTTTTAAAGCCTTATGGAAAAAGTGGGCAGACACTAATGCACTCTGTTGACTTTGAAAATGGTGTTTCTTTGGAAATGGTTGCATCTTGTTGTGTTTGTTAAGAATTATGAACAGGAATAGGTAGGGAATGATGCTCTGTGACAATCCATGTACTGTTGTGAATAAGACATTATATTGAAAAATAAGCAATTTCTATTGTAATACATAGAACGTTCTGCGTGAATTTATTAACATGAAAATTTTTCATCATTAGTATTGTCAGACTCTTTCAGAATGAATTATCATGAGGTAGTGGTGTGTGGTACCATATTGAAATGTACTATGCAGGGTATGTGCCCTACTGTATTCCCCAAATATTAAAATCTCATGTACAATTAGGTAGCAGGACTCTGTGTCCTTGAAAATGTCCTCACATAGAGTAGCGCTCTCTAGTCACTCCCCTCAATTCACTCTGATACATGATACATTGCTAATCTATCCAACACATTAAATGTAACGGTAGCCCTGTGGTCACTGCAGCCAGCTTTTACCTTAGACTCCCAGCCTGTGCAGCGGAAGAAAATAACAAGAAATAAATACTGATAAAAGGCTATATCGTTTTGGCTGTCAAGGACCAAAGGACAAAGGAGCACTATAAAAGATCATAAAAGTGGCCCATACAAATTGTGCATTATATTCCAAGTCTTCTGAAGTCAAACAAAAGCTTTGTATGAACAGATCAAATGCAGGGTGGTGTTCATTAAAAAGATTAATCATCAAATCTTATGGACCACTTTTTTTTTTACAGTGTGTCTTTTTTATTTTATTTTGTATTTTTATTTTTATTTATTTTTTTATTTTTATTTTTGTAGCATGACAACCACAGTTCTCATTCACCTACTCTTTCGTTTAAAAGTTTGGGGTTGATAAGATTTTTTTATGTTTTTGAAAGAAGGCTCAGATGCTCACCAACACTTCAAAAATACAGTAAAACAGTAATATTGTAAAATATTATTACATTTTCAAATAACTCTTCTATTTTAATATATTTAAAAAATGTAATTTATTTCCTGTGATGGCAAAGCTGCATTTTCAGCAGTCATAACCCCAGTCTTCAGTGTCACAGGATCCTTCATAAATCATTCTAATATGCTGATTTGGTGCTCAAGAAATGTTTATTATTATCAATGTTATTGCTATCAGTAGGCACGTTTCCATTACAGATTTGCGCAAAACTTTGGCGATATTTTCTGAATGTCGATAAAAAAGTATTGCGAAATGACGGCGTAACCAATGTTATGCGGCTAAAACGTAACCTTTTGCCTCTCGCGATAAGTCATGGCAACGGATTTTGGTGGGATTTTGACGGATTTTGGCTATATTTATTTAAAGGAGGCTTATGCGTGTATCTTTATAGAAGCAGCAAAGAGAGCCGCTTCAGAAACGTGCGTGGTGCGGCTGGAATAAACCATAGACTGTATAAAAACATAAACACAAGCACTGAGTGGCCATAATCAGCTTCAGTGGCCGTATCAGAGCCACACTGCACCGCAGACATGTGCAATGTAAATTGTCTAAGTATTAATAGTAGGGAAAGCCCCTTATACTGGAGCGTGGCCACTTATGAAGTGTTTCTTGGAGGTTATAGTACGTTGAAGAATGATCATATGACTTTTACATATGCCATGTGACCTGTAAATGCGAAAAAGCCGTTTCCATTGCAGTTTTGCGAATTAATCCTTTTTCGCATTGCCTGAAAAACCACCTCATGTGAGCGTAAAAACTTTTTTCCGATATATGGCCGTATTTGCGAAATTGACGCGTTTCCATTAGGCGTATTTTCAATTCACAATTTCAATTTGCGCAATTTGAAGGGTAATGGAAACGCGCCTAATGTATTATCAATTTATTTATTTGAAATATAAATATTTTATAGCATTGTAAATGTCTTTACTGTCACTTCAATGTAATCAGTGCTTAAAGTGGAAAAAAAGAAGTGCCGGTACTCAGTGGCGTAGCGCAAATCCGAGGGGGCGGGGGTTGGGGTTTACGTTGCAATATTGGAATTATTTTCAGTTTTAAACCATGAAGGCGAGCAAATGGATATCATACAAGCAACGTGCAAACTTTGCACAAGACTTATGCCGGTGAATGTCTTTCACCAGAAAGTGAAAGTAAAAACTGAGAGCGCTTTCTGCATCTGGCGCCGCATTAACTCCGCATATTCTCTCAGAGACGACGAGAGACAAATCTGCTTCATATGCTGATAACGGTATAACCGTTTACATTTTTTCCCTTAATGCTTCTTTTGTGGCCCGAACATAGTGAGAAATATATTTAGTGTTAAACAGGTTTTTGAAAGTCTGCGCTAGAAATAAAGTTGCTCTTAATTTTCATTGATGACTGCAAGTATCAACATTTTGAATTATAGGCCTATAATTCATTGTAGAATGTAATAGACCTGTTTTAAAAGACCTTATTAAAAACATTTCCAATGAGGAGTAAGCTAATCCTCACAGCGCGTCAGTTATGCGGTGATGCGCAATGAAATTATTGTGGAGCAAATTAATGCAGCAAATTACCTGCTGCCTTTACCTGACTGTACATGCTACTATACGGATCCATTCAGAATCACTAAACCACTGACCAGCGCATAATCTAAAACACCTTTCAGCCAGCATTCATTATAAAACACTCATGCTTTTAAGCCAAATACACACTGAAAATAATAATTTACTGCCATCTAGACGCGAGTCACTATTCTCTCCGCCATCTCTGATGAAATCATCCGTGTTTTCTCTGCATTACTACTTATTACTTATTACTAATGCATTCCCTTACTGGAATCTTGAACTTTCCAGTTTACCAGTTTCAAATGACGTCCTGGGTAGTGTGCTTTATAGTGTCATTTCTAATCACCCAGACACTGACTCTTTGACTCAGTACCGGCAACATGTCAGAAGTGCCGGTACGTATGAAAAAGTGCCAGTACGCTAAAGACTAAAATATAGAAGTGCCGGTACTGCGTACCGGTGAATACCTGCCCACTTCAAGCACTGAATGGAATACATACTTGCTGAAAAAGAAGTATTAATTAATTTTTCATAAAAGAAAAAGTCCTGCTGACACCAAATGTAATATTTTAATATATTTATACATTTAAATTATATATATTTT